ACACGCACTAGCGCGTGCATGCACGAGGTAAGTTACATTTGCGGGACATTCGGGATATCTCACGAATTGGGAGGCCCTGTACGCATACTTCCGAGGCCAACCAAGTTGGACAGATATACTGAGCTGTGGTTGATCATCCGTCATCTTTTCCATTGTGTCTGCAAGGAAGCTCTACTGTAAGTGCCGCGTAGATCCTCAAGCTTCACCCTCGCGTACCTCCTGGATATCCGGCTCCAGGTCCTCTGCTTCCTCCCCGTCATATGTTCCTTGCTCATAACCATCCCCATTCTCCTCTGGGATCGTTGTGACCGTCGGGCCACCTTGCTCGGTCTGTAGCTGCTTGACCCGAGTATTTGTCATTTCATACACGTATTGTCCGAGATGCTCGACGTTTTCCATGGCCACCTCGTTGGGCAGAGCCCCGTCCTCCTCCGCAATGAGCCTCTCGGATGGCCACAGATCACCGGGCGCCAGCATCAGCTTGTCCGGTCTCTCTAGCAAGAGGTCGAAGGCTAGTCGGAGCTCGGCACACGCATCGAACACCTCACGTCTTCCGAGAATGTACAGGCCCAGACGAGCACGGGAGACAGCCACTGTCATGCGACGCACGTCTCGTAGATACCCAACCCTCGATGTTCTCGTAAGAGACAGGATGATGTAGTCATTCTGTTCGCCCTGATACTTATCAACAGTGGACACAGCCTTGGGCATGCCAAAGATGGAATTTTTCGCGCATCGGTGGTTCAGTACGTCTCTAATCAGCGCACGCTGACCAGCGTAGGTCGTGAGAATGGATACTTTCTCTGCTGGGTAGCCCAGTAGCCGCATATACTGGAAGATGGCAACTGCATACTCCGCTTCTCCAAGATTCTGGATAAAGTGCGGTGTAGGCTCGACCTCGCCCTTTCCTTTGTAGTCGGGAACGTTGATAAATTGGAAATCGTACTTGAATCCAGCGTTGGCCTTCAGGAACTCCTGTCGATTCTGCACGTCGGGTAGATTATCCAGTTTGGGGTATCGCCATTGGTAAAGCTTGGCGATTGACGGTCTTGCGCGACCCTGCTGATCGAGCATGATCGTTGGCACACCAAGTCTCACCAGTCGTGAGAAGAGTGACTGCTCCAGGTTGGCATAGTGTCGGAACGCCAGGCTCTGTATGACTGGGGAATTCTGGTAATGGTCGCCACAAAGTACCACTCGTTGCAGTTGGAGCTCGCCATCCGCGGGCTTCTGCATCGCAAGCGGAATGAAGGTTTCCGCCTCGGTGATCTGAGCAGCCTCTTCCATTATAACATTGTCGTAGTGGAAACCGAGTCCTGCGATTTCTCCCCTCCGAATGGCGGCATGCGTTGTGGTCATGGCAACGATGCGGGCCTCATTGGTGAGCAGGTAATTCGTCTTGTCCCGCTCCCTGCGTAGAATCTCGAAGGGCACAACATCCGCGAGCTCGGTAAAGATCTTCGAAATGTGGTTGTAGCAGCCATGAGCCACATCCAGTACCTGCGTCCGTTCGGCTTCTGGATTGAACAGGGGCTGGGGCGCGTCCGCAAAGTATTCATGGAACGGGAAGGCTGTGATGATCTCCGCAACAGTTGACTCCTGGGCGTTTGCAATCTGTAGGAATTTGGACCATGCCGGTTCAATGTACGCAGTATTGAAATACCCAGCTGTCTCAGCCGAGTTGTCGTGAGCGCCTGGTGCTCCAAGGCTCGCTGCAAGGCGCTTCACTTCTTGGAGATAAGTATCCCGATTTTGCAAGAAGGATTCGACACGTCCGTGTTTACTGAAGTTGCTCTCTGTCAGCAAATCCTCCTCACCGTGGCCCAGGCGCAGCAGGTGCCGCTCGTCAATGTCCAGAGCTGCAATTTTGGCAAATAGTTGATTCAACGCTTGGTTGCTGTGCGCCACGAGCAAAGTCTTCTGCTCGGGAAAGTTGTGGTAGATGTTGCTGATGATTTGCGTCGCTACGTCGGTCTTGCCCGTACCTGGAGGGCCAACGATGACTGTCAGGCCTGGTTGAGAGCCAGACATGATAGCTTCGGTCTGAGCAGGTGTGAAGCGGATCGTATTCAGACGGGGCGCATCGACCTCATAGGGGCCCCTATTCGGAGGTGTGTATGTAGAGACCTTGAATGCCTCCGCATCCCTCTTAGGAACGGGATCAGCATCGCGTCGTCGCTTCTTCGACGGCTTCTTCGGCTGCACCGGGGCGTCTTCTGTCTGTTCCACGCTCTCCAGGACGTAAGGTGGAGCAAAGCTCCCTGACGCATCGTCGGTCGGTTCGACAGTTTTGCCCGGCAAGCTCTCAATGAGATGGTGCCAATCGAGGAAGCTGTCGCGATAGTCCACCTTCTTTATTCTGTTGGCCATATGTTTATAGTGCGCCCCCGCGGGGTCGCCATAGCCCAAAAACACTTCGTGAAGCCAGGATGGCAGAGGCACTTCTGAGAGAACCAGGCTCCGAATCGACTCTAGCACAGGCTTGAAGTTGTTCTCCCGTCTGCTACGGCGGAGGATGAGGTTAATCTTCCCATATGGGTCAGGTTGCCCTGCTTCCGTCTGTTCGGTATCCAGGGCGAAATTCTTTGGATCGAGTCGCAGCTGAATGCGTCGCTTGCTGTCTAATCCTGTTGAGCCGTCTCTGACGTGGCGGCCTTTGTCGTCCGTGATCTGACTAACAACTGCTGTGCGCACGTGTGAAATACCCAGCTTTTCGTGTTCGGATATCACGTCGGCGCCGTTGGTCAAAGAGTCCGCAGGGGGAGGCTCGATCGCCAGCAGGAACACCACGTCGTCCGGTCGTAGCGAGTCCCATTCCCTACGAACTCCCTCTCCTAGCCGCCGGACATCCACGGCCACCTCGGCACGTACAACGGAAGGATACTCTTCGCCTACCAATGGGGGCACAACCTCAAGGATGCTATGAACTAGTTAGTTTGAACAATACAGGGGGGCTTCTCGTGGACATGAAACTGACGAAGGTCGGTCGATTGCCAATGCCATCTTCGAAAATCCAGCAAATTTTGTGTCTCCAGGCTTTTGGAATTCCGGGCGTAGCTTGCGCAAGGCTGTGTCAATATCCTTGCGAATGCCATAAAAGGCTTCACGGCGATATAGGATTAGTGCCCTCCAGAGAAAGTCGCCGACGGAAAGGTATTGAAGGTTGAGTTTGGGTAAGGCGAGAGGCCGAGATCCATCGTACAGGTCAGCGCGCTGGAAGCTCTCGTCGAAAAGAGTTTGCTCCGTGGGAGTCAGCCCCATTCTATGCGTCGACTCCTGGAAAGTTGGCCGCGTTTCGAAGGAGGATAGGATGATCTCCATGAAGAATTTCCTGTCCATGGGGATGTTGACTGAATCTGGATACTCCACTCTCAAGTCTAGGAGTGAAAGTAGCTGCATTATCTCTGCGTCTGTCAACGGCTGCAGTAATGACTCCAGCTCATCCCTCTTATCAATGGCGCCATAGTTTGATAGTGCGAGGACTGCGAGTTTGTTCTTGAAGTGTTTCAAGGCGACACGCTGCAAGCGTCCAAGCCGTTTGCAATGCTTATCATACGCCTCTGAGCGTGTGAGTTGCGCGCCAGTCTGGTCGTCAATGGTGAAGTAGGTGTAGTGAACAAGCAATGAGTGTAGTTCGCGAAGAAGGCTGTTGCTTTGCTCGTTGTACATCGGAGAAAGCTTCATGGCAGGTAAAAGATGCAAGTCGTGCAACAAGGTGTTGAAAAACCGTCGCGTAGGTAGCTGGCTCTGCAGATCCGAGATGAATTCGGTGAAGCGCTCGCAATACAGCGTCTCCTCGGATGTACCTGAGCCGCTAAACAACGTGGCTAGGAAGTCCAGTAAGAGAGTGTACAGCCAAGACCTTTCAAAGCGCAGCTTGGCTTTGGATGCATCGTCGGCAGCGTCATATCGCTTGAGCGTTGCCCGCCACCCTTTCCTCAGATGGGAATTCTCGTTCAGGCGCGCTTCGCGTGCGCTCTCGTTAGAGAGATTGTGCCAAATGCCGATCGACACCAAAGGGGCACATTCTTTGCGGATGATTGTGCAGTCAAGGCTCTGGAAGGCATGTATCAGAAACGACAGAAGGTGAGTTCTGACGGTGATGGAAAGGGACCGGTCTAGTATCATCGACAGTACTCGGCGAAACAGGGAGGAAAACTCGATTGGACGCTCTTCAAAGAGACCTAGGAGTACTGAATTAGCGATGCCAGGACAAAATGGGGAGCAATACATACTCCATGTCTCAAGATGCTCGCGCCTTTTCACGTTGATGATCAAAACAATCAGCAGCACGTGGAAATTCGACGAATCCTCCGTATAGCCCGGCCACAAGTAGCTCTCCAAGGTCTGGAGGCTCTCAATCAGGCGCAATGACTTGTACTGGAAGCCTTCGCGGTCGAGAACATCCCAAATCCCTTGCTTGACGACATCGTTCTTCACCTTGGGTTGCGCTGCCTTCTTCCCTGTCTTCAGCCAATGCTTCCGAGCAAGCTGCACAAAAGCATGTTCCTCCTCTTCGATTTCAGCGGGTGTCGGGTGGTCTTCGACCGTCGTCTGCGCAGGTGGTTGGGCCTTTGCCGCGCCCTTGCCCTTGAGTCGCTTGGTGCTCTTCGCGTTAGGCATGGCTGCGCAAGCCACGCACCACCAGTCGCAGGTTCAGCTTGGGCGGAAGCACGTCTCGTGGAATCGCGTGGCGGTAGAATGCTGAAATGGTCCAAATTGCCCTACAGAGTGATGTGGCTTTGGCAGGGTGGTGATAGTTAACATGGGCATGGAAGCGCGACGTCGAATTCGTTCTGGAAATTTCAGCCTTGCAGACAGACCCCGGCGCGAGCTGCCCCTCTGAGCTTCAGGTACATGTCTCAGCGCGACAGCAGGCGCAAGGCAAAATAGGTGAAGCAAGCAGGGCGGTCTTAGGGTGGTCTGAGCTCCGGCTTATTTTTGACCACTGACTCAGCCAAGTACCCTCCAGTCCAGTCCTTCGCCTACATCCAGTCACTCAGCCTTCCGGGGAATCAAGAAATCGTCGTTTGCGCAACCGTCCACGCTCGAAAAACGCGTGCTCATTAGCACTTGGCCTTTGTCTCGAACCAAAGAAAAGGTCAGCCGATCGATTTTGAATTCGAATTCATGCAGGGCTAGAGCAAGTCGCTGCGCGACCATCGCAGCCACCACTTTGTCGCCCTCGTCGAACCGCTGCCATGCCCTCAATCGACGTCGCAAACACCACGTCGCCAGGCGTAATCGCTTTTCGTACATTCCTGGATGAAGTGCTGGGAGAAGCGACCACTGTCAAGCCGCCCTCGGACGACCGCTCATTGAGCATCAACCCTCCTCTCCAGAAAGACGATCTTCACAATTTCTCGGAACGCTTATCAGAGGTCTTGAGCGACTACACAGCAGCGGAGCAGCAAGCCGACGATGCGGACAAAACCGCCGCCAAAGCCCGTAAACACAATGTCGTTGAGGTAGCCGCGCGGGCCAAGTTCGCGGCATTGACGGTAAGAAGGGTACACCAGGGAGGTGCGTGATAGATGCTAACAGGACGCCAGGCCAGCACGCCCATCAGCAGCCCCGAGGCCGTCAACATCTGGAACCTGCTCGATATCATATTCTTCACTGCCGATATAGGCCATGGCGATCCGGCGCTTATGTTCCTGCTTGTCGAGGACCTACTATCGAGCCAGACGATATCCGGATGTCGAATAATATTCGACTTTCTGGAGTCACGGCGTGAGCGATGCGTGAGCAAGTTCTACAAACAGTCACATCTCATTGTGCTTCGCAGCTGTAACGAGCTCCTGCGAAGGCTCTCCAGAGCAGAGGATACCGCCTTCTGTGGAAGAGTGTTCGTGTTCCTGTTCCAGTACTTTCCTCTAGGTGACAAGAGCTCGGTCAATCTGCGCGGACAATACCACGTGGAAAATGTGACAACATACGAGAAGCCTTTAGAAGGTGGGGATACGATGGAGGTTGACAAAGAAGAAAATCTGGACAAAGCTGCCGAAGCACCACAGACCGAGAAACCTGGTGGGAAGAAAGCAGATGCTGGGACACCCAAAACCTCCAGTCCTCCACTGTCAAACGACGAGCTCTATGACCTCTTCTGGCCTCTGCAGGAGAGCTTCAGTCAGCCGTTGAGGCTATTCGAGCCGGCAAACCTCAAACCATTTCAGCGAGGCGTCGAAGAAACTGTGAAGAAGTTTGTTGCATTGCCCTCAGCAACATCAAGATCAAGCACAGTCGACGAGCCCAAGTCGAGTCTCAAGCGGAAGCGCGAAGGCCTTGAAGATGGCGAAGGTGCCGAAGCTTACAATCCGAGGTACCTCACAAGCCGTGATCTCTTTGAGCTGGAGGTACGTCTCAAACAGCGCGCATCTGCAGGCGCATACTGACTATTTTATTTAGATTGGCGACCTTACCTTTCGCCGCCACATACTCGTTCAAATGCTTATTTTGCTTAATTTTATCTTGTCGTGGACCAAAGAACCAAAAGCTAAATACGACAAGATGATCCAGCCCTGGATAGAAGCTGCGAAAGAGAGGACAGTGGTTGATGGACCTAAGGTCAACCATTCCCTGCTGTATACAAAGGAGTTTAGCGAGGAAGACGTGAGTCCTGTTCCAGAACCCCAATACTCGATACACCTACTTACAATTATAGGCGCGCTGGGCAAGAGAGACCAAAGACAAGATCGCAGAATACATGCGGAAGGACGTGCCCGGTAAAGCGTTCTACAGGGTGATCGAGACTGTTCTCGCTCGAGACAAGAACTGGGTGTATTGGAAGATGGCAAGCTGTCCGCCTATCAAGCGCGACCCCATTGATCCAAAGGTTTGGGCTGAAGCACAGGCATCGGCCCTACGTGTGACCACCAGCAAGAGGCTCCGTCCAGTGCCTATGAATGCAGTACCTATGGAGTTTCTAAAGCCCAAAGCGCCCGGCCAAGCTTTGAAGGAGCTCGAAGACCCAAAGCGCTACCGGCTACCAGACCTGGACTCTTTCAAGGCCAAAATCAACGACAGCGACTTTGATATCCAGATGGCAAAGACACCGGCGGAGAAAGCGCGGGCGCAGGAACGCAAGGCGAGTCAGAGTTGGAGAGCTATGCGGATAGCACGCGGTTTCAAACTGGCTGCTTTCGACAAGATCGACAACCCGGACGATATTTCAGCAATATTCGAACCATTGGAGGACGCGGTTGCTGAGGTTGCAGCGGACGAAATTGCGGCTGACGAAGATATGCCCACAAACCGGGAGGCTGTCATCGTCTCCGGTCCTCCGGGTGCAGGAAAGTCAGTCATCATTCAGAAGCTCATGGAGGCACGCAAGGGTGTCTTTGAACGCGTTGTGCGACATACCACGAGGGAGCCCAAAGACGGAGAAACAGACGGAAAGGACTTCCATTTCGTCAAGGCCCCTGAATTCAACCAACTCCGCGACGGAGATCGTCTGATCGAGAACGTGGATCAAGGCGACATTGCCTACGGCACAAGCTACAAGGCTGTCGAAGCAGTCACAGAAAGCGGAAAGGTTCCTATCATTGAAATGGACATTGACGTAAGTTGACAGTTTGATTGAGCTGACGAACGGGGACAAATACTAACACAACTCAAAAGTCTGCCAAATTCGCCAAAGACATGGACTTTGATGCCCGCTACATTCTTGTCAAGCCAGCTTCGCCAGAAAGCCACGAGACGTTCTTGAAAGCAGCAGGTGGCCGTGATGATGCCGCAATCAAAGCGGTCATTGATGGCCTCCCAGCGCTCGTCGAAGGCTTGAACGCAGACAACATTGCCGGCAAGGTCATACTCAACGAGAACGTCGAAAATGCTAGCCAGGAACTCGGCGACTATCTGTACCACAAGGACGCAGACGCGGATACAGAAATTGTGAACCGTACTGATACAGGCGAAGCACCAGTATCAGAACAAAACAACGGGGGTATGGATGTGGATGCTCCCGAGGCATCATGATACAGGGCGTTCGTTTAACCATACAGGATATCTGGCGCATGTGCAGACGCATCGAGCCAATTCATAGATAGGGTCGCTATGATTCATTCTGTCACGGGATGTAATACTTTGTGATTATGCAGCAGGAGCATTGGAATTTGAATGGCAATCTGTCTACTAGTACTCATCTTATCTTGCATGTACGAGATACTCCTCCATGACTCAAACGACCGACGAGTGGAGTGTCCAACGTCAACACCTGGACCGTACCTTACTCGTCGTCAGATTCCTCTTCCTCGGACTCAGCCTCTTCGAGCCACTGCAGGAAGGGAGCGGCAGCCTTGCGGACCTTCTTGGACACAGAAACGTCAGTGTAGCGCTTGGAAGCCTTGGCGCCCCATTTGGTGACCACCTCCTCGCTGATGAGGTCGAAGTGATAGTAGAGCTGCAGGATCTTGGTGACCTGGGTGTAGATCTCGGGGTCCTTCTGAGCAAGGTTGCCCAAGAGACGCTCGGTTCCACCAAGCAGGGCCTTCTCGTGGCGATCGCTCGTGATGCACTGTGTTAAGTTAGTGAAAAAGGTCTAGAGAATAATTAGGTTGCGATTAATCTTACCTGCTTGAGCATAGACTGGCGCTTGGGGATCTGGGTCGTGATGTTCTCGTCAAACAGAGTCTGAGCCAGAACCTGGACAGTACGGTGCTTGGACTCGATGCCGAGCTCCTTGGCCTTGAGGTAGATATCGATCGAATCAATCTCGTCGACGGACCCCTTCTCTTCGGCTTGAGCCGCGATCCAGTTGCCCAGATCATCGTAGACAGTGCTGCCACCCTCCTCATCGTCCTCGTCCGCCAGGGTGAGCTTCTGCCTCAGCTCGCCGGGAAGCTTAGCCTGGCGAGCTTTGACGGCCTCTTCGCTGACATCAACAGCCCAATCATCGTCCTTAACCTCGGCATTAGCGTCGATCGTGGGAGCCTCAGCCTGCATCTTCTGCAATTCGTCGTCGCTGACGACATCGTCGTCGTCTTTGCCATTGGAGCCTTGCTCAGAGCCGTCGTCCTCACCACTACCGTGGCCGTTGCCGTTCTCGCCGGCCGTGCCATTCTGCTTAGCCTTGCGAGCAGCCTTACGCTCGGCCTTGTCCTTCTTGCTTTTCTTGGGCTGGTTCTTCAGGATGAAACCACTGAGCTTCAGGCGCAGATCGACCTCGGAGAGCTCACCACAAGCCTTGCAATCCAGGTGGATGCGACCATCCTTGACATTGACAATGGTCTCAGGGTTCTTGCACTTCTTGCAGAGAACGAACTTGTTGATGAAGCCATCCAGGTGCTCCTGCAGCTTCTGGGAATCGTGGGCGCCGTTGATGATCCAACGGTCGTCCTTGGGATCAATGTTGGTCTGAGCACCCAGCTCGAAACCAAAGTACTTGATGACATGAGCACCAGGGCGGGCGAGCGACTGAGCCACGCTAGGCAGGTTGACAACGACGGTCTTGATACCGTTACCCTTGCCCTCGATCTTGGTCTGGATCCGTTCCATCTTGTAACGATAGAAGGGATCGCTGACATCGCGGCGGACGTTGATGAGAGACATGTTGGCGGTTTGCGTAGGGACGGTTTACAGATGGTAGAGAGATGTGCGAGATCGGCTCGGCTGATTTGTCGGGTTTGAATGACCTTGTAGTGACAGACGTGTCATGTGAGGGTGTGCTGAGGCAAGCTGACGGTAACGAAGAGGTGCAAGGCACGGGCGATTTTAGAGCTCAGTATGACTTATACTGGACATAGAGGCGAACTGATGACAGTTGTGAATGTTGCAATGAGACGACATTAATCTCGTGTTGATGATCAAGGTTCAACCGTCAGAACTGATGTCGGGACTCGAGGGCTGCCGCGGTATGCGAAACAACTGCAGCGTGAAAAAGTGTCTGGACACAGGGACTTTATCGTACTGATACATAAACAGCAATTCCTCTGGCGGCTGCTATGTGGTCGTTGTGTGGTGCGGGAGCGGACGAGGTGAGGTTGTCGTCGAACGCCAGACGCAGCAGGTGTTGTTGGAGGTGAAGTGTTGATTTCGTGCGCAGAATTTAGCGGTTGCTTTCGACTTGAAAGTCGATGATCGTTCGTGGGGACAATCGGAATCGTTTTGTCGCAGACGAGGCCTGTTGTTGGACAAGTTGGATGTTTGTGGGAAGCGCGCGGAGACTGGAGAGGAGGTGCGTGCACGTGTGGGCAGAGTTTTTAAAAGTGGAAGCGCTGCAGGCGGGACAGAGGGGCGACGAGCACCACCAACCAGCACCTACAGTCCTGCACGACTCATTCCGCTGACAGTGCATTGGGCTGAGCCACACTGTGATCGTGCACGGCTTCATTGCTGGATATAATCAGCTTCCCATCAGGCTTCACCGCAAGCTGGTGGCTCTTGTTCTCCTTGTCAAGGCTCGTGCACCTCGCAGACCAGACTTTGAGTGGCACATGCCCATAGGCAGTTCCGTGGGCCGTCTTTGGCATACACGGTGCGTAGACGGTTAGGACTTGGAACTTTGAAGGCCATTAAGCGACAGTACGACAAACGACGTCTCGGAAATATTTCATTCGCCTCTTAAGTAGTGTGTTTACGCCTATGGCTTGAGACCATCTCTTGAGTGTATCACTCCCGCGTCGTTGAATTGGTTTGTCATCTTCAAACCTTGCCTTCCGCCAGCCACGGTTGGCCCCTTTTCGATTTGCCCGAATGGAAGCAGATAGATCCAACTGAATCAGGGACACACCTTGGCCACCGTACCCGTGCGTCTGCATGCTAAACAAGACTGACTTCCTTAGTGCTCAAGTCCCGCTACAGAACTGGAGTCTAGAGGCTCAAAATGAAGCAGGCACTTCTGGTCTCTGGGCCTTGAAGAGATCAGCTGGTCTGCCATGGCCATGCTTTCCTCGGACATGGAGGCGTGGGGAGTCGTGGTGTAAGCCGAATACGTATCCCTAAGGAGCGTCTTCATCTCCGCCAAGGCAAGACTGCGAAGACATTAGTATCACCTTTCTCCTTGATATAACAGATGAGGACTTACTGCTTGCCAATACAGCCTCGCCCTCCATTGGAAAAGGCAAACATCAACCTCCGCCTATCGGCATCGCCGTCCTCGTCCAGCCATCGACTAGGGTTGAAGATATGAGCCGCTGGGAAGACACTCGGGTTCAGACGATGCACAGAATACGCCTGACAGCTGACTATTGTCTTCGCGGGTAACCAGGTGCCATCAATCACTCGACCACCCGACGGCACGTAGCGCGGTAAGGACATGGGGATCGGCGGGAAGCAGCGGAGACCCTCGAGCACCACAGCATCCAGGTAGGGGAGCTGGTCAAGAGGGGCATCTGGACTTGCCCGGAGTTCGGCCTGTAAGCGCTGCTGAATGTCCCTCGATCGAGGCTGCGATAGCTCCCACATCAAGAAGCAGAGCCCATCGCCAGTCGTGTCGATACCAGCCGCAATATGGTCCAGACATTCCGCGGCTGTGTCTACCTCGTCGAGATCGCCTGTCTTTTCGCGTAAGCGGCTCAGAAGGGTGAAGGGCTCAGCTTCTGCTTGTTTGCTAGTTTGCTGCACATATTGTTCCACAAGAGGTGTTTCTCGGGGCTTCCACCAGAAGTTGAGGATACCTGATGCGAGCCGGTGAAGAGTTGGGGCATAGAAAGACACCAATCGATCTGCGTTGTTGATTTGCTGTCAGTCTGATATTTTTATGGTGAAAAGGGGTCGGGTCTGCCCTCACTCTGGAAGCTGTCGTCTGCGGCAACCTGGTGCATCATCTCTTCATCGTGAACATCTCGCAGTGAATCGGTCCCCTCGGGGTGGAAAAGATGATGCGTGACGCAGTCACAAGCGTAAGCATGTAAAGCTACTTGGTAAGCCCGGCACTGAATGGGTGTAGCAGAACGTTCTTACAGCCCTGGGAGTTTGTTAGCCATGATTGCATCCCCGGTCCAAGCCTTGGACTTACAAAAACATCATGCGCTGCTAGTCCTCCTGCGGTGCATCTCGCAATGAATCTTTTCGAACGTTCTTGGATTCCCGCAATGGCAGACCCACGCATGACATTGGAATTTGCGTATCGATCTGCCAAAATTCGTTTCCTCTTGGCATGCTAGACTGTGTCAGCTATTCCGAGGACATTACCGCCGCCAGCTACTCACATCGGTTTTGCCCAGAGTAGTGAACATGGTCCTTCGACCAAATATTGTGAAGAGATCGTAGAATTCAGTCTTCTCGTAGCCGCTTCCCCCGGAGCAGTAGATCTCTTTCAAAGCAGCCCATGATGTGAACGAGACCTCGTTCGGCGCGATCCGAACCACTGGGCCGTACTGCAAGTGGAGGGCTTGTATATACAGGGTCCGATCCGCCCCCAGCTCGTGCCATTTTAATATCAATGAAGTGAAGGCAGACACGGTAGGCCCAGGCACCTTCCAAAGGGGTGATTTGACAGTCCGATAGACCAGAACAGCCACGGTGAGCAATGCTATGCTCGCAACGACAGTCGGCGACGTAAGAAGCATATTGAGTGACGGGGTACCATACGCCTGGTAGAGTGAGGAGTGTGGAAATAAAGAATACGACCAGACTGGGGCATCAATGGATTAATTAGCACGAAGATACGTGACACCCTAGGCGCACTTTCGACATGACAAGGTCCCACTGCCAACATGAACGCTGTCTCCGACTGCCCGACATCTCTTATCTTTTCCCCGCATATGTCATGGACCCTCATTAAGGAAAGCACTTGCACGAAATGAGTTAAGTTAATGCTAAGATACGCTTGGCGGGAACGAACGCGACTGGAGGCACCAATCCAACTCAAAGGTACAGGCCGAGATCGGCCCCAATACGTACCTTAGATGTCGTAATACCTACCCTGTAGGGGAGTGCATCGGCACCAGGACGTCGGTAGTAGAATCAGAGCAGCGTTGTTGTCGGATTCGTCTCAGGAAACCAGTTATTCCTCGTTCTTGGGGTCACCAGTTCTTATCAAGTGGCAGCTAGTAACCTGGTGGGCAGATGTTTAAGTGTGAACCGCACGGATGGAACTGACACGCTGATATCAAAAGTGACGAGCTAAGTTACAATATGCCCGCCGTGTGGTTGATTTTCAGCTCGTAGCGTATCAACCAGTTTACATCATGATGAATGCTACCTCGTCAAGGTTTCTTTCCTCCCTCTAGACCTAGGTCGCTGTCGACAGGGCTTACTAACTTATCAGCCTTGCTAAGTCTTGTCGCGCCGGCTCTGATCTCAAATCTGTCGTTCCAGTAATCAAGCTTCATTTCACGACTGGAGCGGAGCAGCAACCCCTCCTTACATGAGCGGCGATTAGGCAGCTTACGGCTGTTAAGACCTTGCCTTGCTTACTTGTGCAATTGATGGACGCACAGTCTGCAGAAAACGCGAAAGATGTTGAATTATCATTTGCCATTTGGCGTGCCACACCAGTGACCAGACGTACGTACCTACGTACTGCAGCATTGACAACTTTGAGGACCCCCTGTAGTAGCAGAGACTCCAAAAAGAGACAGCCAACCAAAACCTCTGGGGATCCGTCGACGGCGCCCGCGCCCGCGCCCATTTCGATCCCAACCCCAGCTCGAGTCTCGGACGGGCAGCGACACTGCATCCAATCTGGCAATAAATAGCACAACGACCCTGGAGCGCGACTCTGACTTGCTGCTAGGCATCACGAGGAAGAGGGGGAGCAGCTGGCGTTGCTTACATGCCCCCACATGAACCAATTGGCATTTCTCCTGGAGATTTGAGCTTGCATTCTTACAAGTACACAGACCATTATTCATTGTACGCACTATCAGTATCAGCTGCACCAACAGCCCATCGCCGGCAACAGGGCGTAGTTACTGGGTCGAAACGTCCGCTTCGCGCCCTTTTGAAGCTTCCTTTGTGGCTTGAGTAGATCAGCCAAGCTGTAAGATAGCCTGGTCGACTTCTCCCCTCTTCCCAGTCGGCCCCAAGCGCGGAGCGCAACCCCAGTCGGAGCAATCGCAGCACCTCGAGGCCTCTAATTGCATTGCCCACTGCCCCCTCGTCCCCAAACAACATCACGCCCCTAATTATCTTCCGTTCGCTCCCCTCCCCCTGCCCTCTTTTGTTTCTGCTTTTTCCTCTCCGACTGCAGTATGCCGCATTTTTCGCTGGGCCGACATACGAACCGCTCGTCCAACGCCCTCGCTGAGCCAACCACGCCTGGAGCTGGGGGATCTGATCAACAACCATCGTCAGCACAAGCTGGTCGACCTTCAGGCTCACGCAGCTCGCAGCAACAACCCCCAGCTGTTGTCGCTGCGCATCAGCAGCCGAATCCCAAGCGCGGCCACGTCTACAGCCAGAGCCACACGCAGAGCCAAGCCGATCCGAACGCGCCACCATCAGCTGGCCCGTCCGACAGCCACTATCCCTCTAGAGAATCTTCGCTGCCGCATCTTTCGCGACAGCAGATTGCGCAAAGCGGCGGAAGCGGCGGTGCCCCATTGCCCCATCCTCCGCTTCATGAAATCCAGCAGCAAGGGCCCTACGAATCGATCGATCCAGCAGCCCACGAAGCATCCGGATTTGATGCGCGACAGGCACCCGACTCGACGGTCAATCGCTCGCAAAGCCAGCGTTTCAGCAACTACATTGGTCCACGGCAGCAGTCGCAGTACCAGTCAAACCAGCAATTCACACATTCGCACGGTTACAGCTCCACCTCGTTGGAAGACCTACCAAGCTCAGCAGCGTACTCGCCAACCCAACACTCGCAGGCTCCCATACAAGCGCAGGTGCCGGGGCAAGAGAAGAAGTCGAAACGAAAGTTCATTAAGGGTATACTCTTCAGCTCCAGCAAATCGCAGAACGACCAGAATCAACAGCAGGCGGCGCAGCAACAAGCGCAACAAACGCAGCAACTACACGACCAGGGCCAAGCTTTCACTGGAGGAGGCTCTTACGACAATACGAGTGGTCTTGCTCGACGGCCCTCCAAGAGGGAAAGCAACCCTCCTGCCATCAATACTCGTCTGTCCAAGCCTCCCCCACCTGGTCATCACTACCAGGAAGGCGAGTGGAATCAAGGGCAAGGATCATATAGCCTAGAGGCATCGCCACTCCACGACGTAGGGGAGAACGAGCAAGTCCACTACATTAGTGGTGAGGTGGATCGTGACTATCGTTTACGAGAGGGTCAAGCCCAAAGTCAAGGTCAAGGTCAAGGTCAGCCGGGACTGGACCCAGCAGCGATCCGCCCAGTTGCACAAGACTCCGACTCGTCCCCCTACGACGACGAGTTTCACAATCAACATCATCTTCCGCCACAAAGCCATAATCAGCAGCTCCTGCATCAGCAGCAGCAAGTGGGACTGCCCCACCCTCAGCAGCTTCAGCCCCACTCACAACAGCTCAGCAGCACACAGGGGCCCCAGGATCAGCAGCAACTCCAGCAGCACCAGCGTTCTCAACCTCACGACGAGTTGCAGCAGCAACAAAATCCTCAATTTCCCCCACCATCATCTCATCAACTTCAGCAGCCTCCCCTTGCTGAGCAACAACAGCAGTTCGGCTCGGCTCCTTCATCTTACCAGCAACAAGTCGGTGAGCCTCGCCTTGTTAGCAGTCACCTTGGGGCGCCTCCCCCGCAGCACCACCAACAACAGCAGCACCCGGCCAACTCTGAGACGATCTCACAGGTCTCGTACGAATCGCCCGTAACGGACCCAGATCAGCCCTCTGGCAGTCAGCAATCAGTACAGCCCTCGCCTGGACCAAATCACACCGACGGTCTTGTGTCGACACCCAATCTGCCAACTGCCCCACCAGTACTCAGCCCACAGCCTCAGTACGCCGTGATGGCCCCTCCACCCGCAGGAGCACCAGCAGCGAACCGCGGCGACAAAGTGGCGCGACCCCAGGGCGAAGTGACAGCGGCTGGGCTTCCTCCAAGCTACCGTCAGAGCAACTCGTCCGTGGGCGCACTGAACATTCCCGCGAATCAAGCAGGCCCCCAGTCGGCATCTGCTGGCGGGCCGTTTCGCGGAGACGCGACACCTCGCTTCGAATCTCCTGGTCTTGACCAGGGCCGTCACAGCCCGCAACCTGAGCGTGGCGCCGACGATGATAAGTCTTTCAAGGATCTGCGTACGTTCTCACACCCATTTGCGCCCCCTCCCCCGTTGTCAATCCACAGTTGCTAACGAGCCATAGTCACAAAGTACAAAAATGTCAAGCGCTTGTACTTTGAGGGCAAGAACCGTCTGGAAGAACTCACTGGGCAAGTCGAGGTGCTTCAGAATGCGGTGGCCAACCAGCGTATTACTCAGTCCCGTACTGCCCTGGATGACAATGAGTACCTCACGCGATTCAACCGATTGAATGGCGCCATCAACAACCTTTCGTTCAATATCCGCAAGGACTGGAAGAGTTTGCCATCGTGGATCGCCCCGTTTGCTAGTCCCGAGGCGCTGTCCACTGGCACGAAAGAGATGACAGCGCTTGGGCGAGGTGTCATCTCGCGTTGGCTTGCGGATGAGCTGTTTGGACAGTGCTTCCATCCCGGTCTGGATCCAATGCTGAGCGCGCAACTCAAACAGATTGAGCAGTCCATTCGTGGGAATGCATACACCATGCACAGTCAAGAAGAGTTTGCGGCTCTAACAAACAAAGTTGTGCAGTGGCGGATGACCACGCTCGACGGTCTGCAGAAGGTCCTTGGATCCTCAGCAGCTGATGAGAACCGGCAAGCCCTCATCGCCAGGGCCTCTGCTGGGCTGACCGCCTACCTTTGCCAGCACCTCAACCAGCCTGCTCCGCCTGGTGTCGATGGGAGCGCCTCGATGATCGTCGAGCTGGCCGTCGGTATTGCTGCAAACACCCCACTGGAAAGCCGTGATGTTGCTGTCACGTACCCGTTGCCCGGGGACATTGTTCGCCCCGAGATCATGGAGATAGGGGAACTGGAGTTGCCGGCCTTGGAGAAGGACGGCGACCATGACTCGGGTATGGAGGATGGCAAGGACAAAGGTGCGAGCCGTGGAGACAGAGCGAAACCTGGTACGTGGATTACACATGGCGGCGGCGCAATGTCGTCGAGCCGCAAGGGCAGCGTTGCCTCGACTACCGGAACAAGGAACAGTGCTGACGCGGAATATGGTGCAGCGCAATCTAGAGACACGACTCGAGTACGGTTTGCGGGCTTCATGGCGTGGGAGGTGAGAGGACGGCAGGTGCTTTTCAAGGCACCTGTGTGGACGCTGTGATGATGATGAATGATGTAAAGCGAGAGGCTAAATCATGATGTCTACTTCAGGGTCTACTTTGAGCATCGTAGGAGCGTTTGTTGCATAGAAGAGCGTCTAGAGCGAGAAGATACCACCAAACATAGGCGACGCGGTACATAATTCAGGGTTGCGTGGCACGCAGGCGGATGAGGTAGAGACTCTGGGGCTGCCAGAGCCGCAGTCACCTCAGACTTGGAACCCCATGGCTTGTCGATGCCGAGAAATGTCACGAAGCAAGAACCATTTGATAATCAGCCAAGGCAGACTGTGAGGTGATGGAGTATGACAGATCCGGTACGGAGGACGGCGTCAAAAGTTTTTGGTCGCGCTAATTCTGCATGTCGACGTAAATAGCTAGTTTTGGTGTGAATTTGCTGGCGCCGTTCCCCG